CTGTATTTCTGAAAGTGAATAGTGATTGAAATGGGACTTAAAAGGAAAAAACACCAAGATGAGAAAGTAACAGTCAAGAGAGATAACCCAAAGATTTCCTGTAGTTTCAAGGAGATTGGATTTCTGATCTGCACTGTGAGCAGTTCTGTGTCTTCACTACATGAAAGACAGACAGAGGGGTGGTGGATGACCATGAGCTGGAAGAGTGAAACCTTCATCTGTGATTAAAAAGGGCACCTGGGGACAATATCGGCCTCTTAGATGGAGAGATCCGAGTTCTTATTTACGTGTGAACAACCCAGGGAAACCCAGGAGAAGTGTGTATCCTAACAGTAAATACATCACAGAGTGGGAAGAAATGCAAGGTTATTTCAAACCCTGATTTGTTTCAATGTGAAGTATTTTCTGTCTTGCAAACTTCATTTCGCTAGCTCACGTAGAAGGCTTTTAAAGGAGTTGATAAACCCGGGGTAGCTGTAGCAGTTCAGTAGTGCATTTTTCACTCAATATTTTCGTTTTGTTTGTTTTTTAATTCTTCAGAGGAGGAGAGTTGCAGGAGGCTAGGATGGTCTTGCCAGGTGCAAAGTTGAACACAGCATTTTTTATGTTCAGAGTTAAAATAAGAAAAGCTGGCTGACTTGAATTGCTTGCGTCACTGTGGCCTCCTCATCGTTATTATGTGCCTCCCCCCCCCCCCCCTTTCTTTCTCGCACCATTCCATTCTATTGTTTGAAGAACATTTGGTCTGGAGTATGTCAAGAAATAGGACTTCCCCCCCCCCCCCCCCCTTTTTTTCCTGGCTTGCTCTAATACATTAACAAGAATCCTGGAATGTATCCTTTTTCTTTCTGCTTATGGGATATTGTACTGCTGACTGTGCTTCTCTGTGGCTGACATGAGCATGCTTATCTCTCTCTCTCTGTGGTGTAATTCCGAACAAGTACTACGGATGTTTGATAGGGACTTGTATGCGATAGGTACAAGGTTGAGGAACAGAACGGTGTCGCGAGGGTATCGGGTGACTCGTAGAGTCGCAGTATTCTATGTAGGGCATTGATCACTGAGGTACCACGGTGGTGGTTTCCGTAGATGTGTTAGCATGTCATTCACTAAGGTATTTGAACTATGCAAAGTCAAGCTTTTTTTAGGTAGTTCGGTATGTGCTGAAAATCTGTACTGATGGTTAGTCTGGTGGTGTGCCGTGGTTGAAGAGCAAGCGTTCGCTGTGGCGTATTCTTGGAACTTACAGGGAGAAGACTGAAGAACTCGGTGACTTTTTATCATGCGTTGCTCTTGTTTCTAAACAACTCAGAGTGTGGTAAAGAGTGGTTCCCTAGTTCATAAGCCTCATTTCACATTTAAGCTGTGGAGGTATGGTATTTTCAAAGATATATTTTGGGGAGTTTGGGGACTTAGGGGTACGGGTGTTTAAACAGAGAGGTTTTCCCCTTGCTTTGCTTTTCATTGGCCTTTTTCCTAGTGACCAGAGACGCACCTGGTCCAAGAGTCCAGAGACTCTTATGCTGAATTATAAATCCGCTGTAAGCCGTGTTGGGCCAAGAAGTGGCTGCTGCGCATTTTCTTTCACTCTTCCCTACTGAACTACATTTTATGTTGTTATAATTTCACTTAATAACCGTGAAAATATTATCTAAGAACATCGCATGCTAATATCGGTTAGGAAATGGAAATGTAAGCATGTAGTCGGATAGAGTAGAAGCTACCTCAGAATCTCTCTGCCAGAATGCCTTATTTAGAGCTTTTTCTCATTAGGAACCCCAATTAAAGATTAGTAACAGTGATGTGGATAATGAAGTTTCTTTTATTACACTTTGCTCTCGGGCTGTGCATGAAGATAGTTATTGTGCCTGGAAAATTTAGCCATGCTTTTCATGCTTTATTGCAATTAGACTTGCAAGTTTTGGTTAGCCTGCAACAGAAAAAGATAATTTACTAAATCCAGTAGCACATCATGGAAAAAGTTTTAGAAACTAAAGATATTTGGTGCTGATTAGGAACCCAGGTTAGTGGCTGGTGCTCGGGTTCTCTGGTCGCTGCATTAAAATAGGTAAGCATGTAGCCTCCTGTGGTAGCCGCTTCAGTTTCTGGCTTCACCTCACCAGACTTTTTCATTGTTCTGTTTGTTTTTTCTCCCGTGTCCTAGGTCCAGGGTCAACCACTAATGGTACAAGTAAGCGGAGGTCAGCTGATCACGTCGACCGGCCAGCCGATCATGGTGCAGGCTGTGCCTGGGGGTCAGGGCCAGACAATCATGCAAGTCCCGGTTTCTGGAACACAGGGACTGCAGCAGGTGAGATAACCCTGATTTTATTTAAGATAAGTTGCGGAGCATGAACTGCGATGTTCTCACCTTGTTAGATAGTACATTTGCCTCGGCGCCCTTAAAATAAGCTGGGCAAAGACGGTTGTTCTCCAGCTATGGATCTGGCAGTGAGCTGTGTGTTAAGAATGCAATAAAAAGTCTTTGTGTATTTGATTTTTGTATTTTATGGGATGGTGCAAACCTTTTAAATGAAGTCCATTAAAATACAGCTGGAGTTGGTTTGGGGTTTGTTTGGTTGGTTTTGTTTTTTTATTTTTAACTGGCCCTTGCAGTACAGTTGGTGATCTAGTGTCTACTCAATTTATGGCTCAGAAAGAGAATTTTTTTTTTTTTTTTAAATTTAAGAAAGCTTCTTGAAAATAACTCCTGTGCTTGAGTTCTTCCAATATGTGATGGCTGAAGGTGAACGTAAATGTTTCCAATGCACAGAAGGTAATACTGTAGAAGGTATAGAAGATGGATTTTATTAGAAGCAATTATTTTGAAATATTTTTCTAAAAGACAGTTTTTAAATTCAAACGGGTGCTTGAAGTGTGTTCCTCAAAAGCAAAGGGAAGAACTGTAACAGTGACATAACGAAAGCGTTCTAGTGATTTGAGAATGAGATTCAGGAATGAAGTTCAGCACAGGCCAGGAAGGCACACATGGTGTCTTGGTGTTTTGAGAGGTTTATTTAAAATTTCTTTGGTTGAAAAACAATATATTTTGTGCTAGGTTCTTTACAGTCTGGTTGTTGGAGGAAAATCCAGAACTGGGTTTTTAAGCGCAAGCTTCAAACCACATCCCAGTTCCTCTCTTCTAATGTGAGAAATGTTCCACGTTGGTGGAAAGACTTCTCTGCAAAGCTGAGGACAACTTTTATATATATCCAGGAGTACTTCTGTATGCTGGATAATTTACACTCTACAGATATCTTAAATCTTAGTCGTCTTTTTTTTCCTTCACCTGAGTATTATTATTCCTAGTTTCATGTGAATAATTTATTTCTTTTGACCGTTTTATTGTGTAAGCAGTGGAGAACTGCTAGGGCGTAATGACACGAGCATGTTATGTTTCCTCTGTTCTGTATGGTAGTGACTGCTGTGTCACAGGGAGGAATAAATTGAAACTCTTCATTTTAAAGTGGAAAAAGAGAAGAATCAGTGCTTTCTTTTTCTTTGCAACAGTCAATCATCCTCAGAGATGATTCGGTAATGCTGAGGCCAAGGAGGGAGAAATAAGAGGCGTAGTTAATGTTCCTTTCTGACTCTTTCTTCCACAGATTCAGTTGGTCCAGCCAGGTCAGATTCAGATTCAAGGTGGGCAGGCTGTGCAGGTACAGGGGCAGCAGGGCCAGACCCAGCAGATCATTATACAGCAGCCACAGACTGCAGTTACTGCTGGCCAGACACAGGTAACTGCACCAGCATGAAAGGGTTTTCTTGAGAGAAATAGGAAGAGAAATTTGACAAATGACTTAAGGTGTGGTTAAGTAAAAAAGGAAAAAAAAAAAAAAAAAAAAAAAAAGGGAGGAATTATTAATATTGAGGAGAACTTGAGAATACATTTCGTATTTTTGTAGTGTTTTCATACATAACTCTGGGGCAGAATAAACAGATTGCATGTTTTTATCCATTGTGTTCCTGTATTTTATTGGTTCATGGTTGTTTTTGTCTGTTAGTCAAAACTTGAAAACATGAACTATTGCTAATTTCATACTTGCGCCATTTTGTGAAATCTAGTCATACCTGGGTTTTCTGCCGATTCTTTTGTTTAGGTCCAAAATTAAATTTCTGAGCAGAATAGTTCTTCCTTTAACATATTCATAGTGAGGCAGGAAACCTAGAAGTTGTTTCTTTCAATATTAAATACTACACTGTTAGGAAAAGTGTATGTGCTTTAGGTATTTTATCTACAATTCAATTGGTTTGTGCTCCATCCTATTTCTTGATGCTGGTAATAAAGCAAAAGAAATAGATGCCTGAAACACCTTAAGCACCATGTGTTAATTCAGGAATTGTAAAATTTGAAAAATAAGCAGTTTGTAAAGTTACTGTGTTCTTTGTTTTGTTTAGACCCAGCAACAAATAGCAGTTCAAGGACAGCAGGTAGCACAAGCAGCTGAAGGCCAGACCATAGTCTATCAGCCAGTTAACGCTGATGGAACCATTCTCCAGCAAGGTATGAGCTTTGGTGTGAAAAGTGTCCGGACTTCTTAATCTCTCTTTGCTAGGTTTTTATTGCCTTGTAATTATTGTCCGAGAAAATACTGAGTTGCAATGCTAGTAGTGCTGTGGCACGAACTGTTGGCATAGGGAATGGAAGAAGAGATGTTTGTGTTATATGAGAATTCAGCCTGTGGTTCTTTCCCCAGAAAAATACAATATGGCTCGTTTCTTTGGCAAGGGCTATTAGAATAGGAACACTTAAGTTTGCTTTTACACCTTAGAGTAGATGATCTCTTGTCTGACACGGGCATTACAGTGCAGCTAGAAATGGAAAAAATAGAAAGTGTGAGGACCAGGTGATGGGGTTTAGTTAACGACTTGCAATGCTTTTCTAAATCTTTTTGCGTGTTATAGAAGGATGAATGAGTAAAAACCAGAAGTGGGACTAATGGTGTTCCCTTCTTTTTGTGTGCGTGTTTTTGGGTTTTTTTTCTTTTTTCTTTTGTGTTTTATTTTCTTAAAGTTACAGTCCCTGTTACAGGCATGATCACCATTCCAGCAGCCAGTTTGGCTGGAGCACAAATTGTCCAAACGGGAGCCAACACCAATACAACCAGTAGTGGACAAGGGACTGTGACAGTGACCCTGCCAGTGGCTGGGAATGCTGTCACTTCAGGTGGAATGGTTATGGTATGTGTTTAACTTTCCATTGACCTTTTTAAAGGTTAAGGTTTAAGATGTCTGAACACAAAGTGTTGTCTGACCTTCATGTCACCTTAACGCGGTCCATCTTCTCAGTAGCTACCATTAGTTTAAAGTTTAAACACTCTAAGTTTTCAGTTTTAATGGCCTGTGTCCTATTGTGATCTGTGTATTCTGTACTTTCTTTCTCCCACAGCGGACTATTGAGATGAGAAATCTAGAAACTGAAATTCAAAATAAGCTGTTAACTGATAAGTAGAGGTTTAAAAATATTGAATCAGCTATTGCTTTTCTTGAGGATCCCTTAGTATTTGTTTTTCTGATTCGTAAGAGGGCTTTTCCTGCCAATTCTTATTTCCTTGTAGTGTGACGCCTTTTAATGTGAATTTCACTGTTTGTCCCCACTAGATGTCAGCAGCTCTACAAGTAATAGTTGCTTAAGAAATGCTCTGAAATTGTCATATAAATTATAACCAAAAAGAAAGGGAAGCAATAACTGTATGCTTAGTTGTACAGGAAGCAGTAACATGGTCATAGAATTGTATGTGGAGTTGAAATTTTACCATTATCAGAAAAAAAACCCAACAAAGCAGAACTGATGTGTAATTGATTTGTTTAAGTTTGTTCTGCAGTTTGAGAACAACTTTATTACTTCTTTCAATTTAAGTAAGTGCGTTATCTGAACAAAACCTAAACACTTTCCATTTTAACTTTTTTTTAATTACTTTTTTACATTCACTTTGTGTTCTGAGCTGCAAGTACTAAAAACATACTCTTCTCTGAGCAGATGGTACCTGGAGCTGGGTCAGTACCAGCCATCCAGAGAATACCTTTGCCTGGAGCAGAAATGCTGGAAGAAGAGCCCCTCTATGTAAATGCCAAGCAGTATCACCGGATCCTTAAGAGGAGGCAGGCACGTGCTAAGCTTGAAGCAGAGGGAAAAATTCCCAAAGAAAGAAGGGTGAGAATATAACTCAGATCTAATACAGGGTTGCTCTCTGAGAAAGGCACAGAAACCACCTGTGCTGGAAAATGAGGACTGGAATCTTGGTGTTCTTTGCATTTTTTTTTGTTTGTTTGTTTGGAGTTTTTTTTGTTTTGTTTTTTCCTAAGCTACATTAGAGTAATTTTTTTTTTAAGTCCCTTGATGGCAGTCCTGCTCCCTTTGCATGCTTTTAATTGTTGAATCTGTATGTAGCTGTATTGCAAATGGGCATTTACTGTAAACCCTCTGTCTTCGGGGAGGGGGAAGGGTGGGGACGGGGTAGGCTTCTCTAGCGGTCAGGAATTTCCCCTGCTGAAAGTACTGAACTAGAAGTAGGCTGGCCTCTCATTAACCTCCTTCATACTGGTGCAGAAATACTTGCATGAATCTCGGCATCGTCATGCCATGGCCAGGAAGCGGGGAGAAGGTGGACGTTTCTTCTCACCAAAGGAAAAAGACAGCCCTCATATGCAGGTAAGTAGGATTTTGTCTGTTCTTTGGACAACTGCCACTTTCAGTTCTTCAGAATACACTGTAGAGGTGTCTTTGTGATGTTTTGTTTGTTCTTTTTTGCGCTAGGCTGCTGACCTTTGTCCCTCTCTGCCTTTGAATTTATGTTTCAGGCATTCTAAAGAAACCTTCTGTCTCGCTTCTTGTAGAGAGCAAGTGTTTGTTTGCCTTGAGTAATTGAATTACAGTAATATTGATAGAAATGTATTCACTTTGTTTTATAAACAGAGAATGCTTGTATTTGTTTGTCCTAAGGAATACAGTCTTTGCAGCCTTTCTGGTTGGTTACCAGAAGTATTTTTTTAGCATATGATTTAAAGGTAGAGACACCTTGTCTTACATGGAAAATTAAAAAAATGTGAATATCTGATTCTTAGCTGCACATTGATTTACGTTAAAAGTGCAAGACAGGTTTTCAAAGGAAGGGACACAACAGAGTAGAATTAGCAAATTCTGGTGTTGATTAGTGCTTTATAGCAGTCCTGCGGCTTTAGCGGAAGAATATTTCCTATGCTGAAGTGGAATCCTTCCCAAATACTAGACCAGTACTAGGTCTTCCCTATTACCAGAAACAGCACATTACTAGGAACTGTTAGGATTTATAGCTCCCATTCTCTTAGACTGGCCTGTAAAACCCAGGAAAAATGGCATGTTTGGAGATCAAGGGAGGGGGCAGGAGGATCTCCTCTTGGTAGAGTTGTGCGTGATTCTCTGCTGTTAAGGAAGAATGTTAAATTTACAACGATATGTATTTTGAATCTGTAGGATCCAACCCAGGCCAATGAAGAAGCAATGACACAGATGATCAGAGTCTCCTAACCACTGCTCAAGGAAAAAAAAATAACTGAATAGAATTCCCGTCCCTTCTGCAAGTCTGTCCTACCTTTCCAGTGCATCAAGTGAGTCTTTCAGTGGGACAATCGCCATATCACAGCCTATCCTTTTCTACAGAATGAGCACCACGTTTTCAGTACGTGGCCGAGATTTTAACTGCGGTTGACTCAACAAATAGAAACTTACCGACTTTCTTGGTATACTCTTCTGACCCAGCACAGGGATTTCAGAGTCTGACTGCTCATGCCTTTTTTTTTTTTTCTGTTGCATTAAGATTGGCCATGGGTGAGAGTGTGCCACGGACTCAGTGATCAGCAATAACGCTGGCGTGCTGAAGCAGGGCCAGCAAAGACCTCTTGGAGTTACGGCCCTTCTGTACAGAGACAGAATCCAGTTTATAGCAACCAGCACTGAGGTGGCTACACCACAATACTTTGTTTTCCCAGCAGAGACTTGTTATTTACGTCTACTCCTTACACCTTTGGACTTTATTATCAACTGGACTGTTCCCTGTTGTTGTATCTGCACTTCTGAAACTGGCAGAAACTGAAGGGGGTTCTTTTAAGTTCCACCTTGTAAAATATGTGAACATCAAGCTCTTCTCCGGGAAAAGTTCAGCCATCCAGTCACAACGGTAGAAATATTTCAAGATTATTACAGGACTTGATATGTCGTGTATCTGTTCCAAGAAGTAAGAGAGGAGAGGGTGATGTGGGGATAAGGATTTAAACAGTAAAAGCAATCTCTTGGTTTTTTTTGGTATGTTTGTTGCCAGTGGTTGTTGCTTTGGAAGAAAAGTGGATGCTAGTACAAAAGGATTAAAGCTTCTAAATGAGTCTCTTCCAAAGGCTTTCTTTTTTTGATCTTCCTTCTAACGTGCCGGTCCAGTGCATGGTTCCTCCAAAAGACATAAAATCTGCAATCTCAGAGTGCTGGCACTTGACCGTGTTTGTGACAGTGTTTCTTGATGTCTGTTCTAAATCAGTGCTACAGTTCTCTCGTGCTACACAGAGTGAGGGATTGTTTCGTGACAGCAGAATCATAGGGCAATTCAACTCAGCTCATCCTGATGTAACTGAATGACTGTTGAAGAACAAATGAAGGCAGATATTGATGAACCTTTTGGGCTTTTTATAGACTAGCCTCTTTAAATTAAAAAAAAAAAAAGTGGCACTTAATGAAGGAGGAGTACTTGGATTTTAAAAAAAGGATTTTTTTCATGACCTATAGCTGGCTTCTGGCTGAGTATCTCGACAAAACATCTTTACTTTATCTTTAATTCCGTAGCTCATTACAGATTTTAAGCTTGCTCCATTCTTACTGATTTGAAATTTGGGGATGGAAGCTGTAGTTCATAAGCATTTTAACAGGTGATGCTTGCATCTTTCCATGCCTGTCTCCTCCCATCTTGAATGAGTTTTACAGGCTTCTTCCCATTTTTGTGTTCTGCAAAACACAAAACTGCATCATGGCAGTTAAGCATGGGATTGGAAATACTGCCAGGCATTGCTATTGAGGGAGGCGATTATGAACCTGAATAGGTAAGGTAGCAGAGGGTGCGGTGTTTTTGAGGAAAGCATCCAAGGATGGGAGAGACTGGTTTAAATTCAGTGAACTCTGTTTTCAAGTGACCAAAAAAAGTAAATGAAACTTGAAAAAAATACAACTCATGTTATCTCCCTCTTATGTTTTTCCCATTACATTACTAAAGCTTATGACTAAATGGAAAATGGAGGACAAATTAGCAAGTTCTAGAAGACTGGGAGGATACAAAAAGACAGAGCCTTGAAAATTCTATTTGCTTTGGATAGAAGAGAAAAATACTAGACCTAAGAGTAGGAGAAGATGGGAAGGAATGCAAGAGGAGGGAGCAGAAACGTGGAGAAATGTTAGCTTGTACACTGCCAGCAGGCAATTTTGGAGGAAGAATATGCCTGTCTTGATACTAAGGATGACAATGTTAGGTCAGCCATCTGTGGAGGTACAAAGCTGGTGAAAGAACAAAGAAGAAATGCAAATTTGGTATTTGTAGTTAGACAGCTGGATTTTCTAAATGGAGTTCAGTTCATTTTCTTTCTGAATTTTCAGTTCCATGTTCTTGCCCTTACCACAGCTGACATGGTGAACCGAAGCTGGGAAAGAAACTGTTTGACACCTGCAGCTATGGGAGGAGATGGCCTCATTCTTGACATGCAAATGAATCGTCTTTCTTTTGATTTTTGTCTTAAATTATATTAGTAATCTAATGCTCTGCTCACAAATCTTACATTAGGATTTTTTTCTAATGATTCAAAAGGCATTTCTTTACCTCCATTGCATTGGTGGCATCTTCGGTGCCTTTGGTTGCTTCCGCCTTAAAATACTTGGCCAGTTAGAGCATGGTGCTTACTTTCTTCAGTTGGCAACTATGAAAGCCTCACCTAGCATTTCTTGTGAGGTCACCCATTTCAGGAAATATGTAGCTCTCTCTTACTGAAGGAATAACAGATTTGCTTTAGTTGAATTTGCAGCATTATTGTAAATATTTTTTTAGATCATCTGTACATTTTGTCAGTGGAATATTCATGTGCTGGAGGAGTATTTCTGTGCTGGAGTAAGACAGTCTCTCCGTAATGTTTCTGCTCTTCAACTGATGGCTAATCTCTGGAGAACCCCCTCTGAGAGTTGGAAGTTAGGGAAGCAAGATTATTGCTCTGACATAGGTATTTTTTTTAATGAGTAATTACTTCTTTTCTTAAAGAACTTGTAATCTTCAAAACAGCTAGAACTTTTTTTCCCAATAAGCCCTTCATATATAGGTTCTCTGATCTGTTGTTGTAGAATGTGTATTAAGATCTATGGATTTGTGTTATATAGGAAGTCTTACCGTTAATACTTTAAATAGTGATGTGAAAGCCTGAGTGCTACTGTCATATTTTTCATTTGCTTTGGGTTATGTGTATTCACTTCTAAAAGAAGTGTTTGCTTGGTGAGATGGGAGTTGTCGGTCAACACCATGTTACCAAAAAGTCTCCTTTCTTTTCCTGGGTGAATTTGTTAAATTGGAGACGTCATCAAGTTCAAACCTCTCTAGTAATTAAATGAGACTTCTTTGTGGATTGGCTGCACTTGAGCAAAAACTCCACTTTGGGAGTGCATAAAAGAGTGGATGAGGATAAAAGAAGAGGCTCGGGGAGAACGAGAAACGTGGCCGATTGACCCAGAGAGCACTGGAGCAGCGAACCGATCAAAACCCAGTTTTCTATGAGTGTAAAGAATGGGATGTGGAAAACGGTCCTCAAGTGATGCTAAATGGCTTTAAGGCCTTGCATGTTAAAAAGGGGGGGGAGAAGATCTTTGTGAATGGGTGTGGGAGGGTACTGAGATTAACGTAATGTAAGGCAAAGTTTGTATATAGTTAAAAGTTTATAATTTTTTTTATATGATGCATTTTTTCAAGTGTATTTTGGTCTTTAATAGATGCAATTGTAAGTACTGTGTACACTATCCAGCTAATAAAAATTTATAAACCAAGAACAAGCTTTGGCTCTGTTTGTCAGACCTTGTGCTCTTTTCCGTCAAGTGGCAGCGCTGACACGGAGCGGTGAGGGCAGGCGGCGGTTTTAGCACCGCTCAGAAACACCTAGGCAGCCAGTGAGCTTTCCTGCCCTCCATGAGAGCAGGGAGGAGAAGGGGTCAGCTCTGCCTCCACCCTGGGGGATGGCTGGGTGCCCCTGCTGCACTTCTGCCCCGTGGGGAAGCGCCCGGACATCTTGGTGTTCGTCTTCCCCTCCATCCCTGTCCTGCCATCTTGCTGCCTGAGGGGACTGCGCTGCCCTCCTGGCTGCTGCTGAGTGCTGGAAGCTGATTGGCTGAGGAAAGCTGGGGTGTCCACCCGTGGGTGCTCATTGGATGGGTGTTGCTCTGGGACACCTCTGATTGGCTGGTGAAGAAGGCCTCCATCTTGCCCTGCTGCTCTTCCTCACAGGCTGGGGTGGTGCCTCAAGATGGCCGGGTTGTTTGAGGAAGGGCTGCAGGGAGGACGGCAGGAGGCCTTGCCTCAGCTCTGAGGGAAGCTGCTGTGATGCTCCTGGAGTTGGGAAATGGCCTCGCTGAGCTGGGGGAGGGAAGGAAGGCAGCTTTGAGCTGGCCAGCGTTGCTTTTGTGTGTCCTTCGAGTGTGGGGAAAATGTTCGGTGAGTCTGGACTGGGAGGAAACGATGCACAGCAATTACCGTTTGAAAGAGACATTACCATTCTAGTCATTAAGGGAAATACGCCTAACAGTCACGCTATGTCCCTTCCATAGCTAGCCAGCCCCTGGATATCTGTTGACATGATGCTCAGCGTGCCTCAGTGACATTTCGGTCTCTGCATGCTTGCTGCGGGATTCATTGCATTGAATAATTATCCCTGAAAGGCCATGCGGAAGAATGTAGTGATTCTGTAGAAGCTGCCCTGGAGCACAGGGAGTGTCCTGTGGGTGCAGCAGTGGAATCTGCACAGGGTTGCATAAGTGTAAGGGACGACAATCCAACTTCACGTTACCCAAATGCTCTTCTTTCTAAGTTCCTTTCTATTCTTGGCTACCTTCCAGGAAGGCACTTTTTTCTCGTCCCCAGATTCGCAAGTATCATGTCATTATCGTTTTTGGCCAAATGTGACTGGATGGACACCCTTAGAAAGAGCTTATTTCTTGTGTTTTGGCACAAAAGGAACTTTTAGGAGGATTGGGCAGGCTTTGAAAGGTTTAAGAGAGAGTTTCCATGTCTGCCTGCTAATCCCTCTCAGGCATGCGGTTTCTTCCACGCGTGCTGCTCAGGATCTCTCAGCAGTATTGTAACTTAAACATGCACTACGATAACATAAATACTTTTATCAAGGCTGAGGTCCCGCACTGGTAGGTCATCTTTGTGTGGTATCCAGTAGTTGTATGTTATAGTAGCGTTGAAACAGTTCCTGTGTATGTTTACAGTTTGCAAAGCTCTCTGGGTTAAAAGCAGTCATTTAAAAAAGAAAAATGTTATGTTCTGCCTATTTTTTTTTCCTGTGTTCTCGGGATAGGCACTCTTTTAGAAGGGATACACTGAACTTCGCCGGTGTTTGTAGCTATATGCTATGTTCTTGAAAGAACAGTGGTCACTACTGCCGTTCTGGGGGCCTGGTTTTGCCCTCGCTGGTGCAAAAGCATCTCTGCTAGCAAAGGTTGAAGCACACGTGAATATCACTAGCTGGCAACAAACAGAACGAAAAAGGCAAGTTTTACCCCAAACACTATTATGTTTCTTTCTGCTGCACTGGATGCCTTAATGGTGTTTTCCAAGTGAACCACCTGTGAGTGACATCTTTACACTATCCCTAAAACTTGAATGAGTTTGTATTTAG